GTGGCTCTGGTGTCTACTATCCAAGGAACATCAGATGTCCTTTTGGGTTTTGTGATATAGGTAGATGAGCAAAAGGAAATACCAGAAATCTTTGGCATTTCAGATTCGTTTGGAGAAGAAGATATAAGAGTTTGCACTTCGTTTGCTGAGGAGGTGTGTGGCTGAGTTCCCTGCAGTTTAAGTAATGCCATAAGCTGATTATATTGCCCTTGAGTTAAAGATACTTGATTGCTGTTAGATCCATGCTCATGTCCAGTAGCTAAAAAACTTGTAACCTGATTTGCAGAGGATGCGATGCCTTTATGTCGGCCATAGAGTTTGTGACCTGGTGGGTAGCCATGAATTTTGAAACATTTATCCATTGAATGGCCAGGCATTTGACAGTGTGAGCACACTGGTTTATCAGGATTGGCTTTAAAACATTTTTCAATGGAATGGCCTGGTATTTTGCAAAAGGTACAGAAGTATTTCCTCTGAGATCCAATGCTCTGTCTTGGAGTAAACTTTCCCAGCATGGCCATGGATTCAGTGTTAGGAGCCTCAGTAGATATATGCTTCCTCTTCTCTTCTTGCTGGATGATAGAATATACTTCATTCAGGTTTGGGAAAGGCTTAATCAGAAGTATCTGTGCCTTAATTCCCTTGAATGAGCAATTTAAGCCCATGAGGAACTTCATCACCCAATCTCTCTGTTGGTTGGCTACTACAACTCTCAAACCCCCACAGGTGCAATTCGGAATTGATTCGTAATTCATCAGTTCATCAAGAAGAGTTTTTAGTTTTGAGAAGTACATACTTACACTGTCTTCATTTTGCATCAAAGCTGAAATTCCATGCTTCACCTCATAGATTCTGGGAGCATTTTGCTGTACTAATCGTTGCTCAAGTTCCAACCACAATTGGTGTGTCGTCTCTGCATATAAGGTGCTGGCCTTGATGTCAACAGACATGGTGTTTTGTAACCATGTAATCACAATGTCATTGCACTGGAGCCAATGATCCATTAAAGGGCTATCTGCATCAGCTGGTTCACAGATAGATCCATCAATAAAACCCAACTTATTTTTGATTCGAAGAGCCCTCTTCATCGACCTGGCCCAAGAGTGATAGTTGCTTGAGTCAAGCATCTGAGTAACAAGTAAAACACCAGAATTTTCATTGGCTCCAATGAAGAATGGGCTGTTAAGCTGAGACGGATCAGCATGTTCTACAATGGTGTTTGGAGCTTGGTTTTGGTTATTTTCATTTGAGGATTGGTTTTGAATATCATTAACATTTGAGGATTCATTTTGGGCCATCATAGCTCTGATACCATAAAACAAATATAAAAGTAAAAACAAGGATAAATAAAGAAGGAAGAATTCTTATTAATTCTGTGAAAAGAAAAGAAAGGATATAATATAAAAAATGAATTCAAAGGATTACAATCTGGATTCATTTAGCTGCTCTATTTATACAATTAACTGGAGAATCTTGTAACAAATTGTAACTAATTTACATAACAAATTGAGCCAGAAAACGGAAACCATGTACATTTCTTCCATGTCATCATCTTCTAGAATTTTCCAATATGGTTAGCTGATTCCATGAAGTTGCTGTCATACACCAATAATGCTAGCGGTTATTTTTGGCTTTCTTCTCTTATTTTGACAACACAAGCCTAAGTGCCACAATGACCCATTACAGCCTAATTTACCAACCAATCAAATTCTTTCAAATGGGTGGTGACATGCAGCTCTATGTCTAAAGACTATAGCCATAATGATCCTCACCAATCAATCAAAGTCCTTCAAGTAGGTAGTGACTAGTAGCCCTAGGTCAAGATACTATAGTTTGACATGATTGGGACAAGAAGTTTGAGTCCATCAACCTTTAAAAGGAGTAAAGGGTGAATGAGGGCTAAGTCATTCATACTTTCTTATAAAATTACCAAAAAAAAAAAAAATTATAACAATAGAAATTGATATTAAAAAAAAGGAGTCACAAATTTTTTTTTCATTAACAATTTGACGCTAGAAGGAGGGCCGATTGCTAAACATCAAATTCACTTTTTATCACATTTATATAGAGGACTTCTTTGAATTAAGAAATTGAAAGTTGCTAATTAGCTGTTGTAACAATGCTTATATAATTTGTTTGTCTAATTGTGCTTAATGCCCCAACTCTCAAATTACATTTCTAATAAACTTAATGAGATTATATACTGCGTGAAATTCCAAAGGCAAGAAAAAAATTGTAAATCAAATGGGAACTAGGAGCCACCGAAGTCACTATCAGATTAATTAATAAAATGTGATGTAAACAAGCCCAATAATTTAAAATTTTCTTTCATTATCCTTGTCACTGTCATAATTTATTTTATCAAAATAATGTTGAATGCTTATAATCCTTCGATAAACAAATTGTTTGATCAAAAAAAAAATTCAAAGTTTAATTGATAAACGGTCAAAGACGACGAATTGATAACTATGATAAATAAATTTGATAAAACTTAGATAAATTTTATGAATGTTTCTATTTATCAAACTTTAATTTTAATTACACATGTTATGTGATCCACAAATATCATCAACTTTCAAACTTACGTATCATCAACTTTTTTGCTAAACTTTTTTATAAAAGTCTTTGTCATACAACGAATATTCTTGAAAAATTCTTCTTGCCAGCCTGATGTTCAATTAAATAAATGGCAAGTTGTTTTTTGTTTTGGGGAATCAATGCTAATATATTTTCCGGGTCTAATTTTGCTGAACACACCAACTCTCTCATTTCTTACATTTTCCGTCTTTCAGCATTGTAAGAAGGAGATGTTCACTCCTATTTAAACTTTTCAGAGTAATCGGAGATTGTGTGGTGGCTTGGCATGAATGGCATATGAAATTTTTAGAGAAACTTATTTCGTGCTTGTTTGGTAGGTATTTTTGGGGGAAAAATTGATTTTTGAATAGTGATATGATGGGAAATGTGTGGTTGAAAAAGAAGAAAAAAATTATTGATGTAATGGAAAATATTATTTTATTGAAGAATGTGTGGTTGAAAATGAGAATTGATTTGAGAATCAATTCTCAAATAAAAAACAAACTCTTATGTTTTAGATTGCAACTTTTATTTTTAATAATCATTGGGGTATCTCAGAAATTGTAGTTTAAATCCATGTTTTGAGACGGAAAATTTTAATGTTTGAACATGTGTTTAGCAAATTTCAGCATTCTGCCACTGTTCTTAAAAATTGTACTATGGTCGGTATATTTGGAATTTTAGCATGTTTTAAATTGGAAAATGATCCTTTGTGAGTTATCTATCATATGCAACTGAAAATAGGTCGATCGGAGTCCGTAGAATTTATTATAGCAATTTTAGTAAACCATGACAGCCAAATTTGGGAAACACAAACCAACTTGTCGAAAAATAATTTCGTGCTCCAAATGTTGTCGTCGAGATCCCGAATTTTTATATGTTCTACTTATATAAGTTTCATACTTTTCAGTAAAATTTTATAAATTCACATCAAGATTTGCTAGATCAAATAATTTTTGCAAACTCATCGTGTAACTGTAGAAAACTGTTTCAACTTGTTGTTTTAAAAAAGAAAAAAAACTCCCAAATTGTTTTGTTCCGTATTTTTTTCTAAGTCTATATGTTTAAAAAAAAATGTTATGATTATATAGTTTGAGTAAATAAATTCTAATTTACAAACTTTCTTAAATCTCCTATTTTTAGATATTAATGTTAAAGAACGCATTCTTGGTAACGCGCTGGGTTATTAGAATTTGTGGCGTTACAATTGTTATCCAAAAGATTCATAAAAGAGCTATGTTAATAGATTGAACAAAGTAGTACACATTTTTCTACTTTTTAATCACACATTTTCGAAAAAAGAAAGAAGAAAAATCATTATTCAAAAACTCATTTTCCCATTTTAATGGGTCTTTTAAAATTGTAAGTGTATAAAAAGTTTGAGTCCATCAGTCTATAAAAAGGATAAAGAGTGAATAAAAGCAGAAGTCTGTCTTAAAAAAAGTATAGCATTATTACACTTAGTTTAAATCGATAGAAGTTGATCAAAAAATGTCTCCATAAAGACAAGTGAATGGTCTTTAGTTTATAAGGCGTTTGGCAAGATTGGGTCTATTGACTTGATCAATTTTGACCCATCAAGTTGATCGACTTCAATAATGAAGAAGATAATATAGCCTCCAATTGGAAAAAATTTTAAATCATTTAAAAATGAATAGTAGTGAATTTCACGGAATGTGTAAATAATAAATGAGTAGTAATGAATATGTTATTGGAATTAATGTTTCACTTCGACTAAATTTACAAATCATCTATAAGTTGGCAACCAAAAGAAGGCATAGTCTCTTACAATAAGAATATTTACATTGTACACTTCAATGATATCATGAAAGAATAAAAAATGCTAGTAGGCTTGAACAGTAACAGGGTCAAATTAACCACTTGAAGAATAAAGAAACTTGATTTGCAGACTGTTTCAAGGAACAATATTTAAAGCTAGCCTACTTCATTGGCAGCTTGTTATTCAATTAAGAAATTGCAAATTGATATCAAACTTCTGTGACAATACTTGCATAAAGCTTGGGTGTTTTTTGAGCTAATTGCATACATTTTGCTGCAATCTTCTGTCCTAATTTCAGTTTCAGCACATAATACAGATGGCTTATGCTGCTCTTCTTTCTCTTATTCACAATCTTGAACATATCCTACAACAACATCTGATTCCTCAAAATGAACAACAAATTGAAACTCTACTCGAAAGAGTTAATTCTTTAAAAGATTTTCTTGAAAAATCTTCACCAAAAAGCAGCGAAATTATAGAAAGTTTGGAGAGCAAAATCACAGTTGTGACATATAAAGCAGAATACGTTGTTGAATCCCATATTTCTTATGGACTTGTTTCAGAATCTTCAAATCATGGAGATGAGAGCTTCACAAACTTAGAGAAAGTAATGGAAGAAATCAATTCCATTAAGCAAGAGGTAATGGAGGTGGAAGATGAGATTGGCGTACCAGATCTGCAGACAAGGATGTCATCGTTGTCTGTTGCTTCATCAATTGCTTCCAGTGGCAAGGGTGATGTGGTGGGTCTTGATCGTGACATGAAGGAGATCAAGGAACGACTAACTAGATCTTCGTCAAAGCGTGAAATTGTTTCTATAGTCGGGATGGGCGGAATTGGCAAGACCACTCTCGCTAAAAATGTTTATGGTGATGAATATATTGCGGATTACTTTGACATTAGGGCTTGGGTGACAGTCTCTCAAGATTATGAAGTTCAAGAAATCCTTCAAGGGCTTCTAGATTCCATGAAAAAATGCGCTAAGGCGATGAAGCGTGATGAAGATAGCAATGTAGAGAGCAGTACCAGTACACAATTAAAAGATGTTTTGTATAAATTCATAAAGGGTCGGAGGTATCTCATTGTAATGGATGATGTGTGGGATACCAAGATTTGGGATGATGTGGAGCGCTTGTTTCCAGATGACAATAATGGAAGCCGAATCATGTTGACTGGTAGGCTAGAGAATGTGGCTGTTTACTTCACCTCTAGATTCCCTCTTTATCACATGGATTTTCTGAACGAAGATAACAGTTGGGAATTACTTCGTAAGAAAATATTCGGTGAAGATTTTTGCCCTCAGGAATTAGTGGAAATCGGAAAGAAGATTGCCCAAAACTGCCAAGGACTTCCTCTCGCAGTTGTAGTGATTGGAGGTCTCCTCTCAAAGGACATCAAAACCGAACGTCATTGGAGAAATGTTGCAGAAAATTTAAGTTCAGCAATAACTTCAAATGATGATCAATTGTCAAAGATACTATCTTTAAGTTACAACCATCTGCCTCATCATCTGAAAGGGTGTTTCCTTTATATGGGAATTTTTCCAGAAGATTTTAATATCCGTGTCACCATGCTTGTCAAGTTATGGGTTGCCGAGGGAATTCTACAACCAGTAAAGTCCAAGAGGTTGGAAGACATTGCATATGAATATTTGTTGGATCTTGTTGATAGAAATCTTGTTTTGGCTTTTGAGCGGAGCTGGGATGGCAAAATTAAAATATGCAAGGTTCATGATCTCTTACGGGATCTATGCAAGAGAGAAGCTGAAAGGAAGAACTTTTTTCATGTCATCAATGAGAATTTCGATAGAATTTCAAGAGGCATCAACGTGCACCGGGTAAGTATTCATAGAGACCGAGAGATTCTCTATTTTCGTTGCATAAACCTCCCTATCTCGCTCATGCGGTCTTCTTTATTTGTCGATGGGCGTCTAAATCTTCCAGTATTTGCGAGTTGTAGTCTGCTTAGAGTACTGCATACAGGCCTAGAATATCGCATTAACTAGCCAGATGAAATAATACAACTAGTTAATTTGCGGTACCTCAGTGGCAGATGTAATCAGAGATGGCCTCTTGAATCAATTTACAAACTTCGAAATTTACAAACCTTGATTCTGTATATTGATGCCTCGGTACAACTACCACCAGAAATATGGAACATGAGAGAATTAAGACATGTCCAGTTGTTTGGAAACATAAATCTTTCCGATCCTCCTAGTGCAGAAATAGATGGGGAAGATTCTATTATTGTTCTTGAAAATCTACACACACTGTGCTGCATAAGAAATTTCAGATGCACAAAGGAGGTTGTCAGAAGAATTCCGAATCTAAAGAAACTGGAAATCTCTTATACAGGTAAACGGGTGGATTGGAAATACTACTGTCTCAATAATCTAGGCCAACTACATAACCTTGAAACGTTGAAGTGCTTCTTTTATGATCAGTCTCTCCAGCCTGGCATATTCACTTTCCCGCTTTCGCTTAAGAAGTTAACTTTACGTGGCTGCAAACTTCCTTGGGAAGATATGATGGCTGTCGGTTCATTGCCCAAACTCGAAGTGCTCAAATTGAAACACCGTGCTTTCTTAGGCAAAGAGTGGAAACCAACTGAAGGAGAATTTGTTCAATTGAAATTTCTGCAACTTGAAAATATTGATCTGGTGTATTGGATAGCTGACTCTATCCACTTCCCGTTACTTGAGCACCTAGTCATTAAGGAGTTATATTGTATGAAGGAGATCCCCAGTGGTATTGGAGAAATTGAAACTCTAAAATTGATCAAGGTGCATGACTGTACCAGTTCAGTTGTAACTTCAGCAAAGAAAATACAGGAGGATCAACAGGAGATCATGGGAGATGAGGTCTTTAAAGTTCAAATCTTTTATTAGGGTGCAAATTTGTCCACTCCACAGAGTTCTAGTTTGGTGTGTTTTAGTTTTAGTTTTAGTTTTTGTTCTTCATTTCTTTGATTTGCAAGGTTATCAATATCACCTTTCCTTTAAAAGAGAGGATCCCCTTTTCACTATTCGTCTCGTGCCCTCGTTTTCACACTGCTATTTATCAACCTGGTTCTTCTACAGTACACGTTTTCTCCTTTAATCTTCCAATAAAGTGCCTTTTGCTCCCTCTCTCTTCACACACGTTCTCTGCTTTCCTTCTCTTAAAAATGTTCTACAGTTTTCCTTGGACCTTGCGGTGGTTTAGAGATGGAATGGAGATGGAATCTACGGGTCGAAGGTGGTGGAGAAGGGGCTGGAGGGACCCAACGTGCTGGTCAACCTTGAGAAAGCCGAGGAGATGCTGCTTTCAAATTCACGAGGAAGGTGGAGGAATTTTTGTGAGTCCTCTGAATATGAATAGACCCTTCACAGCGATGAAGGCACTGGATATGGGATGGTCATTTCTGATATTATTCAAAAATTTGAATGATTGATTAGGGTTCTTGATCAAAGGGTTAGGGTTTATGGAATTGAGCTCCCAGTTGATGTTCATACAAAAGATGGCTCTGTTGTTATTGGAATTTTTTATACCGCTTGTGTCAACAATGATTATGGTACTCTTGAAATTTTCCAAGATCCCTTCTGCATTTTGTTTATTACCTATCTTCCTTTATGGGATTCGGTTATATTGGGAATTGATGGTGCTCTTGCCTGTTTTGTGATGATTTATAGTCCAATTTTGCCATCTGTTCTTTGATTTTTTACCACACATTTAACTTATTTATCATATTTTGCTGATTAAATTAAAAGTCAAGATTTTGAGTTTTGGATTCAATTAATCTTATTCTGCTTAAGAACAAGCTCAAGGCAATTTATGTTTGTGTACATTAGATAAAGTGTAAATTAACTACCTTTCGAATTTATACTAATGCTTACTTATCAGGCTCAATGATGTGATTAGAGTTATTGTCTTGATACTTTTTATGATTTATGTATGTTTGATCCAACTATTTCTCTGAAGGACATGAGGATGATTAAAAAGGGGAACCGAGCTGCAGATGTTGCAAATGATAGTATGATAGAAACGCTTATAGTTTGGTCCGAAGATCTTGTCCAAGTTGTTGCCAAGGCATGTCAGTGTGCTTTTGTAAATTTAATATTCGATTCATGATGGATTAAAACCTACTATTATGTAATAAATTATAGCCTGTATTTAGGAAGTTCCTATTCCTTCAACTGGAGTTTCGGAATGTGTAAGGAGAGTTGGTTTAGACGATATTGCAGGCATTAATGAATGTTTGGAGAGGAAGGCTAAAGCTAACGAGACCAATGGAAATAACAAGTACTGATTACGCCCAAAGAATAACGAGGTAGTTATAGCACAATTTTGGGGTGTCGTATCCATAGGGAGATAGAATAATATTTAAAGGGTAAAAAATGGATGGATTGTTCTCTTAAGAATGTAGTTGAAATCAATATTGGAAAAATGAAGTTAAAAATCAATAATTTAAAACAGTGAAGCATCGAATTCCCTCGGTTGGATTGGATCGTTCACATCAATTATTCAGTTTTATAACTCAATTAGAAGCTTTCATCCCGATACTTTAATCAAAAATTTATCGTGAAAACCAATTTATTTTACAAATGTAATTCTAGAATCTAGATTTATGACATGTTTACACAAATTTTATTGAAATTAGATTCATAAATCGACCATATATTTCAAGCATAAAGCAGTAAATAAATTATACCAATAAAATAGTTGAGATTTCAATTCAACAATTAATAAGAATTAGACAAATTTCAATGTAAATTTATAAGAATGAAAACCTAAATTCTAGCATTGTTTGACAATGAAAATATCAAAATAACTGAATAAAAGATATGAAATCACCAATTCCAACCGAGTTCCTTCGTAGCTTCACCAAGATCTTTAGTTCCTCATATGTTTCTTGAGTCAAATCAATGAAAGA